TCCAACTGAACTGCTGGACTCAGAACTTCAACCATGAAGAAAATTGCAGGGTCCATCATCAACTGTGGAGTGCTTATATCAGATTTGGGCCTCCTCATTGGCTTAGACGAAACAGTAGACAGCATAGCCAGTTGTACATGCAGAATACGGTGGTACATTAGAACCTGCAGAGGACACCAGGTACCATACAGAGGATGGAGGATAGAATCATTTTATCAACTACCCCAGCCAAGTGTTGGCAGTGAAAATTTAGGCAAACGGAGACTCTAAGGTGGAATATGTCAGCCAGTGGATTCTGGAGAGATTTCATCGTGCTTGAAGTGGTGAGATTGGCAGCAGTTCAGAACCATCTAACTATCAAAACCACTGGGAGCATGCCCCACATGGGGACTCTGGGATGATTGGGAGGCTGGGTGTAGCTTCTCCCTTTACCTACCGCTTTCCTCCAGGTACAGGAAGGAAAAAAGAATGTGGGGGATGAAGGAGGAAGAAAGTGATGGTGTCAGGTTCAAAGAGTGCAAGCAGCATACTTAATCAGGCTTTCAGGGGAAAGTTTTACACATTTTTAGGTACATGGAAAAAACTTTCAAATTTCTTCACCAGAAGGAAACTTAAGCATATTTTAATGTGTCTAAAGCACATCAAAGACCAATTAGGAGCAACCCATTGATTTGACTGTGTTCTTCAAACCCTTAGAAAAATTCTTCTTTCATATAGGGAAATAAATATTAATGCAGTTTTATAAAATATGATTCTTATCCAGAAGGATTTTATTGATGAGAGAAAAAAAAATGATACAGTTACAAAGGAAGTGGGTAGTGAGTTTTTGGCCTAACAGTTACAATGCACGGGGCAACAGAGGAGTGCTTGACTCTGGTCTCAAGCTTCCTGTTCTCCAGCTTCCAACTAATGCACATACTGTGAGGCAGCAGGATCAGCTCAAGTGGTTGGATTGCTGCCACTCTAGTGGAGACCTGGACTGAGTTCTCAGGATCTAGCCATGTGCAGAGTGAGCTAAGAGATTGGATTTCTTCTCTCTCCCTGTCACACAAACAAATAAAAATGAACAAAACAACAAAACAAGAAAAGTTCTAAGGGGAGAACACAGAGATTTTCTCTGGAAAATTCTGATTTTCCCCCCTTTATCTAATGATGATGAATCATAGCACTATTGCATACATTTTCTAACTTCTGCTTAAAACTTGTGGGAAAGAGACAAGGAAACTGTCAAGAGAATGACCTCTAACACATCCCCCATGTTAACATGCCCAAGCTTCAACTCTTAACTGCAAATCTACATGAAAAGGGGAGCATTTCTCACCCTGTGCTCAGAGAAAAATGAAACCTAGAATTGCTCCTACACAAGCAAAAGCACTATTTTTAATTCTTTGTAACCCTCTCCACTCTTCTACCAAGAACAATGACCATTTTTTCTGTCTCCCAAAGCACATATGTGTGTCTGTGCATGTATACACGTATGTATACACTTTCCCCCATTTCTTTAAGTTCAATGACAAATGCCCCTTCCCTCTCATTCTGAATATTAATATCTTCTATCTGATCATCGTGGAGACAGGCTACGGGAACAAACTACCCCTAAGCCCCAAAAGCTTCAAATGTAACACTACCAACATATTCCAAACCGTTGGACTTCCTCAGCACCCCTACAACTCTCTCCTCTTCCAGACACAATCAATCTAATGCGTCCTTTATTTCACTGTCACCCAATTTTTTTCTTAGGGGAAGGTGGGAATGGGAGAGCTCATATCTACCTGTTTGCTGTCTAAAATGTTTGCAATGATTGGTTGGGGCTGGTCTGGGATGGAAGCCAGAAGCTGGGAACAATCCCAAGCTTCCCATTCATGGCAGGAAGCTCATTACTTGACATCACGGCTCCTTCCAGGGTCTCCGTTAGCTGGAGGAATTTAGAATCTCGGAGCTGCTGTTGGGAACTGAATCCAGTTAACTTTGCTAAGGTATGTGAGTGTCTCATCTGCCAGACCAAATGCCTTTTCCATCTACTGACTCATCCTCTGGCTTCTTAATACTTAGGGTTGGCCATATTGTTCCCTTTGCCCAACAGAACCTTAAGAATTGATAATGACATGGTGAACACATTCTATGTCTCAGCCAGAGAGCTAAGCAGTTTACACATGTGCTCTAATTTAACTTTTTCTCTACTCTTATTTCAGAGGTACTATTTCCATTTCCAGTTAAAGATATGGAAATTGTCCCTCAGGTGAGTGAGTGTGTGACAGGCCTACAACGTAGATCTAGCTAGAAGTCAGTACTCTGACTCTCCATTTTTTTATCCTGGGAAACACATTTCAAGGGCTAGTTTAATATGTTCACTCTTCAACAAAACTTTCTCAACCTTTCCTGTCCTTTCTTCTTGGCTGTCAGAATTTTCTACCTATGTTTATGTTAGTACATAACTATGTAATAGGCCCATTTCTTAGTTCCTTCAGCAAATATATTTTTAATATATTCCACAGGAGATAGTGCTTGACAGAAATTATAAGGTATGAATGGAGCAGTCCTAGACTTGACCTCATAGAGCTGGGTTAGTAAGAAATGTTAAGTAAATGACCATGCAACTATACCATAAAATCCCAGATGATATTTGCTATGAAAAAGTTCTTAAGGTGTGGATGATACTTCTGTCTCTAGGCATCACATGAGTACTTTAGAGTTGGAGCATAAACTTTTTTTAAAAATTTTCCTACCATTAACTAATTGCTTGTAATTGTATGCATTTGATTTGGTGTTGACACACTGAAGGAACTGTTTAGGCTAAAAATTAGATTTCTAGCAGGAAAATGAGGTCAATCTTATGGAAATGAGATGATAGAATGTAGCATGACAAGAGCTGAAAAAAGAAGATGGAAATATTATAGGAAAAGTGTAACTGGGGTTTACCAAAGGATTCTCAAGGTGAATCTCATAACTCAGGACCACTGATACATAGTCTGAGTTTCATGATACTCAGAACATAATAAACAGTACTTCATGTGCAAGTTTTTCCCTAAAGAAGTTTTTGTCTAAGGCCCTGGAAAGATAAACTGATATATAATAGTTGTGGTTACTCCTTTTTCATAAAATCTGTTTATATTCTTTTTCTGGCTACTAATACAAAAAAATTTAAACAGTGGTCTTTACAAAAATTTTACCAATGAAATCCTAAATATGATATTTTACATCCCAAATTTCATATGAGGAACACCCAGTCAGCCATAAAATATTTGTGACATTTCGAAACAATTTTAATATATTTTGTTAAGTGCTTCTGAACTGATAGTACAAATCATAATGAATACTCAGAATATAAGGATAATATAATGTCCTGAATCAAAAAGAATAATATTGAAATAAGAGCTTCATCAACATACTTAAGATTATAAATGATATTACAAAGAGATGTAAATTGCTCAGAAATGTTAGGTATTAACAACAAACTTTCTTCGCCTTTTGTTCCTGTTACTTTATGACATCATCAACTAACAGGGCAACTACTGACCTCATGTGTTCTAGGTCTGCTCCTCCACCACAGTGAAGAGGAGTAACAGCAGTAATGGTTTTCAAATGTGTAGAAGCCTCACCTTCTTGGAGCTTTCTAGCTCCGATTCAAGCCCTGATGAGTTTTCCTGCCATATTACTAATTGCTTATATTACATTGGGTTTCTCCTCTCTCCAACAGATTCTTTTTGCTCCACAAAAGTAAAATGACTGACTTCACAACATTTAAGATCATGATCCATTTGCCCTCTGCTTCTTGTATTATTACAAATGGTAGACATTGGAAGAAGAACGGCCATTGGGGAATGTTATTAGATTACACTTGTTTCACTCAAAATTATTCATATATAGAAATTTGCCTCATTGACTAATGGTTGTTACTTATCAGTCAGCTGAGGAGAATCAAAACTTTGTTAGACAGTGTCTCTGAGATGCTGTTACTTTGTTTTACTAACTTTCTTCATGTTTCTAACGCATAGCCAGGTCTTTAGGCTGAACTGAAAGCAGTGATCCGCTCTCCAAGTCACTGCTTTAGTTTCTCAGACTTCTCTTTAGTTTTGTCCTCTGACAGCCTCTGTGAATGGGGCCAAGATGACCTTTTGCTAATGCCTACCTAACTAAATTTAAACTTCTGTGCACAGTGACAAGATTCTACAAGACCCACCCTTATCTGCCTGAGCAGTGGTACCTCCACTCCTCGCCAGCCTTGCCAACCACTTCATTGCAACATGTCTGGCCTGAGCACTTTCTGTTCCCCTGCTCTGAAATGCTGCCTACTATAGTGCTTGAAGAACTGCATCTCATCTGTGAAACCACAGCTGACATCCCAATACCTAGTCCTCCTTCAAGTGTTCTCAAAGCACCCCACATAGAGAGCATTTTCTAACAGCATTGCACCATCATTTTAGAACATTTGTCTCTCTCCTGCATTACACTTTGTGAAACAGGGACTAAGTCCGATTTGCCTCTGTACCATTGAACCTTAGTACATACTAGTATTATAAAAATGTTGAATGAATGGATGCATTACATTTTATATTGCTTTTACTTATTGTAAACAGAACAAGAGGAGGAATACATTGGGGCTATTGAAAAAGGGTTACAAAAGAAGCAAGAAAAGAAGGATGGATGGATGGAGGGAGTAGGGTGGCTTTGGAAGGAAGGGTCTAAGGAATAAAGAAGAAAAGGAAGGAGGGAAGGATGGAAAGATAGAAGGTAAGAAGACTTGGAGTCTGATAATAGGAGTGACCACAATTTTCAATCAGATTACTACATGAATTTCCAATATTATTAACTTGAATTAAATTATCAAGAGTACTCTGAGCTATTAGTCTCCCCAGATTATACTTTTTCAGAACCATAACCAATATATGCTCACCTCAGGCTCCAGTAAGGGAGGGAAGCCCACTTAATGCCCACAGTTGGCCTACTTGGCTGCTCTTATCATGTGACCTGTACCCCGCCATTCTGGTGAGCATGCTTACTTTGTATTTGCTTTCTGATCTGGAAGGGGTGGGAATATGTCCTTTTTTCTTGAAGGTTGTAAAGTGCTTGCACTGAGGACATGGCTTGGTACTGGAATCAATGCGACCGAGTTCCAAGAAGTACTTATACTTGATGGAGTCTTCATGTGTTAAATTATATACAACTGTTGTTTCTTCCAGGAATTCAAAACATTCTGTGATGGGACATTTAATTTCTACTTGGCCAAGTTGTACCTGTATAAAAAAGCAGATGGACACAAAACAGAAAGGTCACTGGTTAGTAAGGATTCTTTTTCTTTTCCCTCTTGAATATGGTATTGCTTATTTCATGATGTAGTAAAGAATTGTCTATGGTATTTAAAGATAACAAAAAGAAATGGTGATCCAATATCAGAATTAGGCTGTGCTGAAATAAATATTGTATAATGTCCCCCAATGACTTCTAGATTATTTTCAAATTTTTTTCTACTCATTATTATTATTTGTGATATCAAATGACAAAAGCCACACCAATGAAGCATACTATCACACCATCCTTCCAGAAACCACAGGGTTAGGCAGCATCTGGAGAAGGTGCCAACTGTGTGAATGGTAGTATGAGACAACTATGCCAAGTAAAAGCTGCTTCAGATTTTTCAACCTTAATACACAGTGTTTCAGCACTAAATTTTGGGTACATTTTATTAAATTTCAAAAGGACAAAGAGATTTTGTTAAGTACATATATAGAATTGCTAACAGTTTAAAATCGAATACTCCACAGTAACTCTTTGCCCTGACCTTTCTATGTTAAGAACTTAAAAGTTAAGTAGCTTCCACATTATCAGAAACACTGGATAAAGAAAAAAAAAATTAAACCACTACAGTAATGTAAAACAACAACAAAACTCCAACCCTGTGAAATCTGGTAATTTACACAATTAATTTATTCAAAGAATCACAGAACTAGAGTTTGAGAAGGTGTATATGAGAACTAGCATTAATGATTACAGTGATAGATTCAAGTACTGAGTGTGGACACAACTGATTTCTAAGAGATGACGAAGACAAAACACTTTGAAACAAGAAGCATTTAAATGTTTCCTGTAAGCAGTGAACTGTAACTCTCTCTTTTCTCAGCTTCATAACTGTTTTTTTCCATCCAATGGAATCAACGGGAGGCACCGAAAATGCCAGATGACAAACGATGCTAACCTTTTGCTTTTTCATTTGGGTGAGTCTGACACTCTAGGAAATGAAAAAATATGTACCTAAGTGAAAAATGCAGGAGTGAGAGACAGCCATTTTCTCAAAAATAGAGGAAAAAAGCCATCATGACAAAGAGCAGTTAAAGGGGGGAAAAAGACCACACCTAAAGTCACAGTAACTTTGAACTTTGCTGCTTATCTGACCCAACTGTGACGAAAATTGACTAGGTTACAGAGAAGGATTCATGAGAAAAATATTTTGAGAAAAACAAAGCACATGAGCTCAAGTGATAATGAAATAGAAAAGTCTGTCTATGGACAAATCCATTGACCTGTATCAACCAAATGAAATTCTAACTTGGTATACAATTTTATGTTACTGTTATACAAAATGTGATCCAAAGAGGCTTTTGTAAATAGTTGCCAATAATTGATTTTTTTAAAAAATGAGTCTGATCAGAGTTTCAAATGTTAATGCTGTGTATATTACAGTATACAGTGATTACGTGCTATTGTATGACAATGACATAATTCAAGTTATGCCTTATAATAAGTTATTTCAGGCTATATGTAAAGATAGAAATCCTCAGAAAATTTTTACAAAGATAAAACTGCCGATATAACATATTTAGCAGTCTGGTTTATTAAGTATGTAACTTAGAACATTTCAAAACGATGTTTTCTCTTCTAACATTCTGTTGACATTTATCAAGTCCAACTCTGAGCCAAGAAACAAAGTTACATGCTGAAATCTTGTAGGTGCCTGTCGGTAAACCAACAATAAGGACAGCAAAAGAAACGATGGCTGAAAAAGGGGAGTCCAGGGTGCTAGGGAGGTTTTTGGGCAAGCGCAATGACTTCAGACTTGCAGGTTCAGGACATCCTTGAGATTAGCGCTGAGTGCAGTGAGGGCCCCAGCTGATAGCACTTACTAAAACCAGAATGAAGGCGATCCAAGCAGCCAGGAAAAAAAAAACCCTGCCTGGGTAAAGGGAGAGAGGTAAGAGAACAGAGCACATGAGAATATGCATGTCCACACTATCCCCTCATCCAAACTGGATCGACGTGTGCCATGCCAGAACGTGTATGCATCTGAATCTACAGATCTCAGACTTCAGAGGGGACACGCGCTTTAAGCATGAGCAAATAAGAGTGAACCACAAGTGATTTTTTAAAGAAGCAGCTGTACAGATAAGTTTGGAAGACGGAGCAGAATCAGAGCATCGTGAAGTCATCTCAGGAGTCTAGGCTTTATGATTACAGCAATAGAAAGCTACAAAGCTTGAAGTGTGTGAAAGATAGTTGCTTCTTATTCCATAAAAAGAGGCTCACTTGGCCTACTTTGAGGACCTCTTACTTGTCCAAACAAGTAAGAGAGGAAGTACACTTTAACATTCGGGATGAAGTCAATTTTTAGTTCTTGGGATAGTGTGTGTGTCAGCCTCCCCCAATCTATGAGTTTATTTAACTACATCTATGACAACAATGGAAGCAGCATTTTTACAGCCACAGTTTGGGAAAATGGAACGGAACAATCCCACGTGGCTCAAGACAGCAGATTGTCTAGCTATTCCTTCAGGACCGGGTGCTGCTGCTTATTCACCATTTTGTGGGTACATCCAATCAAACCAACACTTAGCCTTCTATGTCAATGTTTCTCAAATCTATGTAAAAAAAAATTCTACTTCCATAGAAGAGATCAATTCCTCCTACACAATCTTTTCATTGAGTCTTCTGCACTGTGTCTTCTGTATGTTGCAAAACCCATACCCCACTAAATCAAGCCAGTGACCTCATATTTGTTGAGCATGTCAAAGCCATGAAATATATATTTCCACATTTTCCTACTACTTATTCTATAAACTTAGTACATATGTATATATAGCTGAATCCAGAACAAACATACCTGACTCTCTTTGTGTATTTGTTGGGAATTTAAGTTTTCTGACACACTCAAGACTTACAGAATCTAAATCATTGCAGATAGCCCACTAGTTTGCAGTTGGAAATACATGCTACGCATACTTCTTTATGGTAAATTATTCCATTTTTATGCATAGTGTTACTCATAATCAATACAGTCTCTTGCTCTCTACATGTGTGATCATTTTCTCAAATGATCACTAGCAAAAAGTAGACACATTAAGCAAAGTCCATTAATTTATTTAGTTAAGATAGACATTCAAATAATCCAAGGATGCACTATTCAAACATTTTAATATCTCAATAGTCAAGATTGTTTTACTAGATAGGTGTTAACATTGTGCCATTACAGTGCTTAATATTCTTAGTAATATGTAACATAATACTTCAATCTACAAATGATACTCTTTTAGATTTCAGTGAAATCTGCTTTTCCTAAGTTTGATGCTAAGAAGTTAGATGCTAAGATGGAACTTTCAGAGTGGCCTCCAGGAGGGAGAAACACAGGTTTCTCTTGGAGGAAATGAATGAGAATAAACAAGGCAGACGACTGTAATCAGGAAAAGTATCTCTGAGGAAATGACAACTTGAGCTGAAAACTAAAGGGCCTGTCAGAAACAAGAGACTGCAGGCAAAAGAAGCAAGGAAGATGACCTGAGGTGCCTGTGCTCTCAACAAAATGATAGATGACTGAAACCTATACGGGACAGATCACAGTATGAGATGAAGTTGGGATGTTGGCAGGAGACATCACAGATTCCTGGTGGAGCACCATAATATGCTGGGATTTTTTTCTAAGATACTTAGGGACACTGATGAGTTCAAGAGCAAGAGTGACACTCTGATTTATATCAATAAGTCTTTCAAGTTCCAATCAGAGGACTGACTAGAAAAACAAACATGAAACTGGAAAAACAGTGTCATTCTGGATTGCAACTATTGTTCCCAACAGGGGCATCCTCCTGTTCCAGTTATCTGGACAACAGATGATAGGTGACTCGACTTAGCAGAGGATTATGGGAATATTTTGCAAGTAGAATCAATAAAAGAATTTCTTAGGAACTGAAAAGTAAAAATTATAATCAAATGAACCTTATTAGTTAATGGATTCCCTCCTGATAAACTCATCATAAACTGAAAACAGCATCAGTCCTGAATGTTTTAATACACCTAATCTGTCACTAATTGGACCTTAGCACGAGAGTACCATGCAGAGCAGGGATTGTCTACCTTCAGGAGGATGTGGTGCCTTGTCATCAGCAACTCAAGGAAAAATTCCAAGTGCAGCTTCTACTGAAAGTGCAACACTTTTGCACTATTGCAAAATTAAAAAATGTTAAGCCCAAAGATGTAAGCCAAGGATGCTTAAAACATGATGTTTACAAATATCTATGCATGTACAAATCACAAAATCATTAGATCAATATAATTAGCATATGTATTACTTTGAATATTTATTTTCCTTTTTTTAAAAAGATTTATTTATTATTATTGGAAAGGCAGATATACAGAGAGGAGGAGAGACAGAGAAGAAGATCTTCCGTCCGATGGTTCACTCCCCAAGTGACTGCAACGGCTGGAACTGAGCCAATCTGAAACCAGGAGCCAGGAGCTTCTTCCGGGTTCTCCCACATGGGTGCAGGGTTCCAATGACCCGGGCCATCCTCGACTGCTTTCCCAGGCCACAAGCAGGGAGCTGGGTGGGAAGCAAGGCTGCCAGGATTAGAACTGGCGACCATATGGGATCCCGGAGAGTGCAAAGCAAGGCCTTTAACCACTATGCTATCGTGACGGGCCCTGAATATTTATTTTCTATGATGAGAATATTTGAAAACTGCTCTTCTGACCTTCAACCTTCTAACACATTGTTATTAACCCGCCATCACCATGTTGTACATTAAATCTTTTGAACTTGGTCCTCCTGATTAAAATTGATATCCTTTGACTAGTGTTCATTCTTACTGCAAATAACAGAGTTTTGTTCTTCAAAAAGCACTATAGTATTCTATGTACATAAACCACATTTTCTTTTCTTTTTTTTTTAAGATTTATTTATTTTTACTGGAAGGGAAAATTCACAGAGAGAAGGAGATACAGAGAGAAAGATCTTCCATCTGCTGGCTTA